GGATGGAATAATGGCCTCAGCATCCTTGATGGAATAAAGGTTTCAGCATCCTTGATGGAATAAAGGCGTCATTAGCTTTGACGGAATAAAGGCTTCAGTATCCTTGATATAATGAAGTCCTCAGCATCCTTGATAGAATAAAGGCTTCAGTATCCTGGATGGCATAAAGGCTTCGGCATCCTTGATAGAATAAAGGCTTCAGTATCCTGGATAGAATAAAGGCTTCAGCATCCTAGATGGAATAAAGGCTTCAGTATCCTTGATGGAATAAAGGTTTCAGCATCCTTGATGGAATAAAGGCTTCAGCATCCTTGATGGAATAAAGGCTTCATTATCTTTGACGGAATAAAGGCTTCAGTATCCTTGATGGAATAAAGGCTTCAGTATCCTGGATAGAATAAAGGCATCAGCATCCTTGACGGAATAAAGGCTTCAGCATCCTGTATGGAATAAAGGCCTCAGTATCCTGGATGGTATAAAGGCTTCAGCATCCTTGATAGAGAAAAGGCTTCAGCATCCTTGATAGAATAAAGGCTTCAGTATCCTGGATAGAATAAACGCTTCAGCATCCTTGATGGAATAAAGGTTTCGGCATACTAGATGGAGTAAAGGCCTCAGCATCCTTGATGGAATAAAGGCCTCAGCATCCTTGATGGAATAAAGGCTTCATTATCTTTGACGGAATAAAGGCTTCAGTATCCTTGATATAATGAAGTCCTCAGCATCCTTGATAGAATAAAGGCTTCAGTATCCTGGATAGAATAAAGGCTTCAGTATCCTGGATAGAATAAAGGCATCAGCATCCTTGACGGAATAAAGGCTTCAGCATCCTGTATGGAATAAGGGCCTCAGCATCCTGGATGGTATAAAGGCTTCAGCATCCTGGATAGAATAAAGGCTTCAGTACCCTTTGATAGACAAAAGTCTTCAGCATCCTTGATAGAATAAAGGCTTCAGTATCCTGGATAGAATAAACGCTTCAGCATCCTTGATGGAATAAAGGCTTCAGTATCCTTGATGGAATAAAGGTTTCAGCATCCTTGATGGAATAAAAGCGTCAGCATCCTTGATGGAATAAAGGCTTCAGTATCCTTGATATAATGAAGTCCTCAGCATCCTTGTTAGAATAAAGGCTTCAGTATCCTTGATGGAATCAAAAACAGAAAAAGTGTTATCAACATAAGGTAAATTCACGCGAGGGTTACAATATTTTTCGAATAAAATGCTTTCATAAAACCAACAAAAATGTTAGCTAATACCGGACCCAGGGGACAGCCTATCGAAATTCCATCGACCTGGGCATACATACTATTTTTTAAGGCAATCCGCCACTAGCAAGGCTGGAGTGCCACTACCACGCAAGGGGTTGCAGAGGATTGACAACAAGAGTAAAGAGGCGTGTTTGAAGAAACGATACAGAGAAGGACGAGAAACAAACTTTGAGTATCAGATGTCGACTGACATTACACTTGAATATTTGAAGATTATAGTCATCGGAGAGGTAGATAAGAAGGAGGGAGTTCCACAGACTGAAAATTAGGGAGAAGAAGCTGTTTGAGAAGAGACAGTTTCATTTAACCGTTTCGAAAATGAAAGGATGGGACCGAGATGCCAGTCTGGTAGCTCGATTAATAAATGTAGTCGAGGAACAAGCGAAAGTAGCTCGTCCGACCGTTGTCGTGAAAATATTTGTAGAAGAGACAGAGGGAGGCCACGGCACGTCTGTGGGATAGCGATTGTAGACTAGATGCCAGATCAGGACCTATCATCTTGCATATTCATCTCTGGAAATTGTCACAGATCTCGAGACGCACAGTTGGAGCACCAGACCATATATGACAGCAATATTCAAAACTAAATCCCACCCTTCTATTGCTTAACGCATAACCCACAAAACAAGCTTTCAGGTATAAAGGTGGGACCCAGGTGAACTCTATAAAGAAGCTTTGTAAGGTAACCTGAAGGGAGACATTTGTGTACAAATTGAGAATATCAAAGGACACCATGAGATTTCAGAACACAAATCAGAGCTTCTAATGAGATTAGAAAACCCCAAAGAATCGTAAACTCAATAAGTGTAAAACAGACCAAAGACTGGTAGAAGTAGTTCAGCCATCCATTTGGCCAATGCTGCTATGTTGTACGGAACCTACCATAGACAAAATAGATCTAAGGGGCACATTATCATTATGCACTTTGGGTAAGCGTTACAAACGTGGACGTTGGGATCCTACAGGTCTAATACGATTGTACACAATTTTGGAAGTAAGGTTGCTCTTGGATACAGCGGTAATAGCGGCTCGGATTGAAAAATCGGAGAGACGAGTTCGAATTCCAATCGAATCCATTACATTCACTTACGTGCTAATAACAACCTTGGGAAAAGTGAGAATCCTCTTCTTAAGCTATGGGTAAATATCAAAACAGACCGGGTTCTATAGCCTAGGATTGAAAGGGAACTACGGCAGAAAGAATCCAATAAAAATGCAATGTTCTTTGTAGCAAGAAGAATAGATTGCTTAGCTGTGATTTTTTTTTGTAAAAGGTATCATTCAAAAGAAGCCATTATTGATCAAAATTTAAAAAAAAATCAATAAAGTAAATTTTAATTTCGTTTGAAAATTTCACAGATTTATTGAAATTTAAATCTGTGTACTGAGAATTTCAGATTTCGTAAATAGAGAACTATGTTACAAATTAAAATGTGCAAAAAATTAAACAGTTTCAAGACACTGCACTAATAAATTTTGGGGATTACGTGCTTTAATTTTTTGAAGTGATTGTCATATTTTTTATTTGAGCCCAAATAGTTCGGAGCGGAAATTAGTTCTGAGTTGAAATTAATTTTGCACCCCTAAATTTCTACTGCACATAATGAGGAAAGAGGGTTTGGAGAATTTGAAACTCGCAGGACATATTGCAGCAATTCCAACAATATGCGTTGTCCTATGTCAAGAAGACATAGCGTTAAAGGAAGGCAGCGATTAACCCAGCTAACGAGCTTGAGTAGATTAATAGATGAACTAAGATCACGAGAGATAGCAAAAAGACAAACCTTACTATAGCAAATTATGGCAAGCCATGGAATCCCACGTCCTGAATTAACACGGTGCATAGATGAAGGAAGAGCGCGTTTGTTTTATCTTTTTGCCACACTTGTTTAAACGTAGTATATATATATATATATATATATATATATATATATATATATATATATATATATATATATATATATATATATATATTACGCTTTCTAATAAGTACCGCGCATATAATATATAAATAATTATACATATATATATTTGTTTATATTTATATACACTTTTCACATAGATATATATATGTATATATATATATAAGCGAAAACATTGATATTAATGCGAGTTTATTACGGGTGTGAACATAGGTAAATGTTGATGTTGAATTGTTCATTTTTTTCCTGTTTCGCGCGTTGATTGCTTCTGCCAAAATAACTCGATTAAAAACGTATATTGTTAAAAAAAAAAATGGAACTACTTTTTTTTCATCATTCCGTGTCCTGAGTTATTTCGAAAATTAACTCCGACCCCGCTATTTCTCTAAGTGCCCCCTACCACACTTTTTCTCATACCGATTTATTTTCAATCTCGCACTGAGCTAAGAAGCCAAAATAATTAGTCGGCTTTGATCTGATCACCTTACGCTTGCAACTAACCTTAAAACACTACGCACTCCGCCACATCAGTGAATTTCGGCTTCTGTATTTGCTGTTTTTGTGCAGCCATGTTTGATTTTTTTTTTGTTTTCGTCTTTTTATTCTAACTTTAAACCAGTTCCTTCTTCTTTTGATTTCATTTTTATTCATTCTTCCCCTTTCATTATTTCTCTTTTTTCATTCATATTATTTCATTTTTCCTGCAAATTTATTTGTTTTCATTCTTGATTTTTTTTTTATTATCGTTTCTGCTTTCGTTATTTTCTTTTTCGTCTGCTTACGTTTCATTTAAGCTTTCATTCTTTTTCTAGTTTTCATTTTTCTAGATTTCTTATTGAAAAAAAATTCTTTTCTTTAACATTTTCTTCCTTTTTGTTTCTTTTCTTTACGAAATGAAATCGTTTATAATTTCATATGCCCTTTTTAATTAATTCCTTCCTTTCCGAATTCATTTAATTTCCTTCTTTTCATTATCGCTTTTATCTGCTCATTCTTTCTTTCTCCTGTTTTTTTTTTCTAACATTTCTTTCTATTTTGTCAAGTAATCTTATTTCATTCTGTGAATTTCCTTTGTGCGTTGATATGTTTTAGGTTTCTTCTTTGTTTTTCCAGATATTTTGAATCTTTATTTTCTTATTCTTTCTTTTTATTTTTCCACAACATTCTCTCATTCCTTCTTTCTTTTTTCTTTCTTTCTATCTTTCTTTCTATTTTTTCTTCGTTGGTTCTTTATTTCGTTCCTTTCTTTCTTGAATAAATTTTTTCTTCTTTCGTTTCTTCCTTCGTTTCTTTCATTTCTTCTATTTTTCTTTCTTTCTTTCTTTCTTTCTTTTTTCTTTCTTTTCATTAGTTTTTTTCTTTTTTTTCATGACAATTTCTTTTCTTTCTTTTTTCTTTCTTTTTCTTTACTTTGACGATTTCTTTTGATTTTTTTTATTTTTTTTTTTATTTCTTTCATTTCATTTTTTTCTATTTTTTTTTTTCTTTCATTATTTTTTTTAGTTCGTTTCTTTTTTCTTTATTCTACATCTCTATTTTTTTTCTTTTTTCTTTTTTTTTCTTTCTTTTCATTAGTTTTTTTCTTTTTTTTTCTTTTCTTTCTTTTTCTTTCTTTATTTTTTTGTTTTTATTTATTTTTTTTTATTTCTCGGCTCATATTCATTCTTTTCTTTTTTTCTTTCTTTCTTGAATATATTTTTCCTTCTTTCGTTCCTTCCTCCGTTTCTTTCATTCTACGTCTCTATTCTTTCTTTCTTTCTTTCTTTCTTTCTTTCTTTTCATTAGTTTTAGTTTTTTTTTCTTTACCATGACAATTTCTTTCTTTCTTTCTTTCTTTCTTTCTTTATGTTTTTCTTTATTTCTTTTTTTTTATTTCTCGGCTCATATTCATTCTTTCTTTTTTTTTTCTTTCTTTCTTGACGATATTCTTTCTTCTTTCGTTCCTTCCTCCGTTTCTTTCATTCTTCGTCTCTATTCTTTCTTCCTGTTATCCTTCTTTCTTTCTTTCCTTCTTTCTTTCTTTCTTTCTTTCTTTCTTTATTTTCATTAGTTTTTAGTTCTTTTTCTTTAACATGACAATTTCTTTCTTTCTTTCTTTCTTTCTTTTCATTAGTTTTTGGTTCTTTTTTTTTACCATGACAATTTCTTTCTTTCTTTCTTTCTTTCTTTCTTTCTTTCTTTATGTTTTTCTTTACTTCTTTTTTTATTTCTCGGCTCATATTCTTTCTTTCTTTTTTTTTCTTTCTTTCTTGACTATATTTTTCTTCTTTCGTTCCTTCCTCCGTTTCTTTCATTCTTCGTCTCTATTCTTTCTTTCTTTCTTTCTTTCTTTCTTCACCTACATTATTTCTTCATTTGTTGTTTGCTTTGTTCCTTTCTGTCTTTTTTTCTTGCCCTATATTCGTTCGTACCTTTCATACTTTCTTTCTTTGTCTCTATTATTTCTTCTTTCCATTCGTCCTTCCTTCCTTTCTTTATTTCTTTCTTTCTTTATTTCTCGGCTCATTCTTTATTTCTGTTTCCTTTCTTTCTTTCTTTCTTTCTTTATTTCTTTCTTTATGTTCTTTCTTCTTTCGTTCTTTCCTTCGTTTCTTTTTTCGTCTGTATTCTTTCTTTCTTTCTCCGCATATATTCGTTATTTCTTTCTTTCTTTCTTTCTTTCTTACTTTCAACATAATGCTTTCTTACACATTCTATGCATGTTTTTCCCCAATTTTCTTTGTATATTTTCTGTCTGATTAATAATATTTACATGCGATCTATTGTCATCATCATTGCTGCTATCAAAAAGGTTCGGTCATTTTGCCCTCCGACTATTATCATCTCTATTTTGATCCAGGTAAATTACAGCGAATTTCAAACTGAACCCCTTATTTCATCTACAGGGATCTATAGTTCTAACTACCGTATTTTTCGGCTTACAAGACGCAGTTTTTCCCTAAAAATACTCTGAAAAATATGTGTGCGTCTTCCAAAACGAATATAAGGCAACGCTCAGGCTCAAGTAAGCTTGGACAGTCACCTAATTAGCTTGACCGGTAGGGGCGTGGTTTTGTATGTTGAGTGATTAGACTATAATGTTAGCTATTTATCTAATTCTGCATTTTATAAGATGACACCTCACGACTTAGCAGTCACAAGTATTTCCAAGACTATAAACCTTTCTGGAGCCGAGCCACAAACTTAAACAGGCTCTGTTTACGAGCCGCGGTGGGAGTCTTTCTTCTCTTGATCTTGATGGTGAAGGTTTGCTGACACTCTTATGTTGTGAAAATATCAGATGCCAAAAGGCTGTCACACGAGCAGATGGTAGCTTTGAGATTTTACATGAATCCAGCAGTAACGAGATCTTAGGATTTCTTTGATTGTTTTATACTTTTACATGCATATTTTTAAAATTTTTAATTCATTTTTATGAAAATAAAACCACACTTGGACAATGAAAGATGTATAGTATATTTACTAAGCACCAACTAGTATGCCATTGCCATACAAACAAAATCGGACGAGTGATTAATGCAAACAATACATGGCGCCAGTATGTGAGGGGAGCAGGGTGAATATATTGTTGTATGAGAATGACTTTTTTTTTCTTCGAAATTTCTTTCTAATTTTAGGGTGCGTCTTCCATGCCGGAGAATACTAAATGATTAAAAAAAAAAAGGGTCCAATTTGAAAGGATACTCTGGAAAGGATATTCTTCTTTCTTTCTTTTCAATTCTGATATTTTCCTCTTCGGAAGAACATAATTTGCTACTGATATTCCAGACAGAAATATACACACATATATATATATATATATATATATATATATATATATATATATATATATATATATATATATATATATATATTCATGTTTCATTAAAACGACAGACAAGGTACTACAGTTGAGCTTTTTATTTAATTTTTCTTGTGTTCTGACAAGAGCTTTCTTTTCTGGACAAAGAGTGTGTAAGTTCAAATGCCCTTTAAGGAACTGCGTTCCTCACCAAACCGGACTCATAAATAATTACATCGGCTACACAACCACATGTTTATCCAGACGTCTTACATTACACCTATCTGATCACAGTTCCATCAGAACACATTTAAACACACACTCAGATTTACCCTGACACTATTAGGAACATACTAGTAGAAAACACTAATATATTAACTGCATCCACTTGCAAAAAAAAGACTAAAAATAATGGAAGCTCTAATAATAAAAAGAAAAAGCCAACTCTTAACAATATCAATTATGAACAAAGCCACAATGTGCTAAACCGTATTCGGAAACTAAAAACATCACTACCACACACTGAACATACATAGAACACACAATCTACTAAGCTGATAATGAACCATCCTTGATAATGGCTAAAGGTATAGCCGAAAGCGCTCGGAAAAACAGAACATTCGGACAGTTCTTACACACTCTTTGTCCAGAAAAGAAAGCTCTTGTCAGAACACAAGAAAAATTAAATAAAAAGCTCAACTGTAGTACCTTGTCTGTCGTTTTTAATGAAACATGCATAAAGGAAGGATTGCTGCCTAATTATACAAATATATATATGTCATCGCAGATAGTACTGTTTCGCTGTATGACAGCTCCTCAGTGCGATTAAACAACCGAATGTCTCAAGCCCGGATTGAGACCCAACCAATTTGATGTCAGTCAGAGCTTCTACTCGACCGAATCAGTCAGCCAAATCTAGCCTATTGTTTTTACAAACGTAACAAACGCCAATCAGTAATAGTGCTCCATTCATTTTACTGAAGAGCTGTGCATTTACGCAGGTAGCCGTTATCTTTAGATTTAGCTTGTTATTCAACAGTGCTCTATTGAAAAAATATTTTCAAGAGCTATATATATATATATATATATATATATATATATATATATATATATAGGCAGCAATCCTTCTTTCATACATGTTTCGTTAAATACGACAGACAAGGTACTGCGATTAAGCTTTTTATTCAATTTTTCTTGCCTTCAAACAAGTGCTTTTTCTTCTCTGGACAGAAAGTGTTTAAAATCTGTACAAATGTTCTGCACTTCCCAGGGCTTTCGGCTATACTTTTAGCCATTATCAAGGATAATTTAATTTTTACTTTTTAGCTGAATGTATGCATTGTGCGTATATATCTAAATTCATAAGGATGTGTTATATTCCAAACGCAACAAGCACATTGAAGCCGTGTTCGTAAATAATGCTATTGAGTGTTGGCCGTATTCTTTTTTTTTTTATTATTAGGGCTTCCATTATTTCTAAAAAAATTTTACATGCGGATGAGGTTAATATGTTTGTATTTTCTACGAATATCTTTTGGGTGTAGTCTTTTAGCTTCGTGTGCGTGTTTACATATATATATACTTATCAGTCGTCTTTGATGAAACACACACACACACACACACATATATATATATATATATATATGTATATGTATATATATATATACAAGTAAGATATAAATAATATGAATAAATAAATTCAAATAACCAAAAATACTTAAAAAATTCTTAATAAAATGCTCAATACAGAATAGAGCAAATATAATTTATTCGAATATTATAACATAAATGTGTTATAAAATCACAACAAAAATAGCGAAATTTGTTTCAACACATGTTTTGAATTCAACACCGTCACTTGATAAAACACCAGAAGTGTTGAAACAAAATGGCTATTTTTGTAGTGATTTTATAACATATTTATGTTATAATATTCGAATAAAATATATATATATATATATATGTTTAAACGTTATTTTTTAAATGAATACTCATATTTGAGCAGATGCTTTGTTTTGTTTATTAATTAAACAGTATATTTCTTTATTTTCTTCAACAGCATACAAAACAGAAGAATATATTTCGAGCATCGTGAAGGAGATATGTGTTCAATAGCAGTATTTGAGTTTTGTTTGATTAGAAAGCTATACATGGATGAGGTGGTTTAAGGTACGTCAGATCTAATGACAACTTCAACTAGGGGATACAGGTTCGAATCCTGCCGGAAGATGCATTATTTTCTAACAAGTTTTCACGAATATTCATCCCCGGAGATATAAATAAATATACTCTCGGATTTAATCCATATTTTCTTTTTTTTTTTTTTATATATATATATATATATATATATATATATATATATATCACTTAGCTGTTTGATATTACGATCAACATCACGACTCCAGATTTTCGCGGGCGAATCTGTCCGTTCAATCATTACTGAGTAACATCAATTTATTGCATATTTGTTTTTTTAGATTTTCCTTTATTATACATTCAAGATTGATGTAATTTTTTTCTGCATTCTTTGTGTTCGTGTGTGCGTTCTTGCGCAATAAACCATGCATCCGTCTCTGCGGATATGTGTTCGTGCGGTCGTGCGCCCGTCTCCGCGGATATGTGTTCGTGCGGTCGTGCGCCCGTCTCCGCGGATGCTCGTATGTGTAGTGTGTCTTGATCGTTTGTCCTTTTCTTGTCTCTTTTCACTTTACACTCGCATTTTCTCTTTTTTTTTTTTTTTTTCTTTTTTTCGGCTTTGGAACAACTCTAGTTATGCCAACGATTTTTATTGATGTTAATGTTAACATAAATCAGCTAACTTTTACACATATTAATCCTATTGATGTTCTAAGATATCTTTGATATTGAGCAATTTATTGCAAAGACATCTTGTCTTAAATGTCTTTTCTCTCAATATCCCATTGACAGTCAGCAATTTTGCCTTCATACTATCTTTTAAATCGATATTATATATATATATATATATATATATATATATATATATATATATATATATATATATATAGTTAGTTAGTTTATGAAAAATTAGGTAATCTGTATGGGTAAGCCTAAGGAGGTAAAAAATCCAGAGAGCTCAATGTAAATACAGAGCAAATAATTTAAATAAAAACAGACAACTTTAAGGTTCCATGTAATAAATTATTTCACCAAAGCCCTTTTGAAAGGACTGCGGATCATCAGACTTAACTTCCAAACAAAAAATGAAAAGAAAATTTACACATTTTTGACGGGCCGTATTAAACATATGTAAATTAACGAAGTGAGGAAGTGAGGGGTGAGAGAGAAGACATGAGTGAGTTAGCAGATATTGACACATTTAAATATATATATATATATATATATTATATAAACGAATGTTTAAACTGTTACAAATCTAAAAAATAATTGTCCATTCCCCAAATTGTTTATCTAAAAGTAATTGAGTTTTTTTTTAACAGATAAACCGTGTAGCCATCTTGACAGAATTGGTCGGGAGAATCGAAGAAAATCCCTTTGAGTTTTTCGGCTAGAAAGACAACTGGTTAAAATCGCTTTGTGTGTGTCAGCCTCACTATGTCTTCCGAAATGGGCAAAGTTGAGAGAAAAAAGAAAGTTCATTCCTTCGATAATGGTACCAACATTCGTACTCTGCCTTTCATCTTCAAAGTCAGTTCAAGAACCATCAAGAGAACGGTGAATAGGTTTAAAAAAGAGGGAACAGTAAAAAGGAAAATCGATCAGGAGGTCCGAACATCAAGGGAGATCAACATTTCAAGAATCCAGTGGTGTTATGAAAACGTCGGATAATTCCAGTAAAATATTTTTAATCATTTCTATCATGCAAATGTTCAAAGCTTAATCTAACTACTGGTCAATTTTGCTGTTACAAGCGGCATATATATATATATATATATATATATATATATATATATATATATATATATATATATATAGTGT